TGATTTACCATGACGTCTTTCCCCCTTTAGTACGTTAATATCGTTTGTGAAATGGGTCTAAGATCACTTTATTTGGAAGGCAATAGGCGCAGCGATTTTTCAGCAGGTCTGTACTTGGCTTCCTCTGGCACTGGGGCTTCAAGTTAGGACGGGAGCGGAGAGAGCAGTTTCATACACAGAAAACGGGCTAAGGAGCCGGTTACCTGAGTCTCTCAATCGAGCCAGTTCCTGTCGTCGTTTCTTTCGTTTCGCCTTTTTCAGGGCAGCCCTGTACTTTTTGTGGCTGGAAGATTGAAACAGGCACACACTAGCGTCAACTGACCGCACCTGCGCCGCTGCCATGACGTGCTCACACGCGCCCCCCCCCTCGCCCCTCCGTCGCCTCCCGCCACCCAGCCGCTCTGAGTGACAGGAAATCGTTCCGGTGCCCGGGAGTGAATTCTTATTTCCCGTGCTTTAATTACGGAACACGCATTCAGTATCTCCTCGCCATTCCATGACCAGCCGGCAGGTCTTTTCCATTCCGCCACCTGTTCACTTCCTCGCATCCCTCAGCCTACAGGCGCCCCTGACAGTCCGGGGCGCACCCCGGGGAGCGCTCGAGCGGCAGCAGTGCCTCGCCTGCTTGGCCCAGCTCCCCTTTCCTTCTGGCTTGCATATCCTCCATCAGCAGGCTCGGCTGGCCCCGTCCCGTCTTCTCAGCGGCTCATTATCCCCCCAACCCAGCTTACCTTGGTTTCTCCGGAAACATCATCTTCTCGGGAGCCGCCATGTTGCAAGGGCCACCACACCCCCAGCACCCCACCCCTAGAGATGGCCGGAAGAGGCGGGATTAAGAGCAAGGGCGCGGCCGCGCGCAGGCGCAAGGGGGGGGTGGGGAGCGTGCCTCCGCCGGGGGGGACCAAGTACGGAAGACGCGAGGTTCCGGGGGGAGGGTAGTCTTCCAGAACGCCCACCAACAAATGTCTTCTTCCCGAAAATTCTTTCGTGTCCCTGAAAGTAATTCTTCCCTCCTAGCGCTTCCCCACTGCCTTATCACTGCCTGCCCCCACACCATCGCAGTCTCTCTTGTGGCCAGGAAGTTAAAGTCCCATTTTTTTCTCGTTCCCATCCACTCACGAAACCTCGTCCCACTACGTCACTCGCCTCCCGCGGGCCCACCTATCAGCCCCTCCGACGAACTCCAGACTCCGCCCCGTTCCAGTCGTACCTGCTACCTCAGCAGTGAAACCCAACACCTGGGCTGTAAACGTCTGACTTCTCCCAAGGAATGTGCTGTCTACAGGCACAAAAGAACCGACCCATCGATAAATATGGTAGAGGGAACGTAGTTTACTTAACAGTCCACGGGCGATTCAGGGAGAACTTTCTGATGCCTGAGTTTTCAGGAACGTAACGGCGAGATTCCCGGTGAAAATCGCAAATCCGCATAAGCAAAGGCACTGAGAACTGAAGCAATGTGGAATTGGTCGGAACCGCAAAAGTTTTTCACCATCGAATTTAAAGGGAAGTTCCAGAATACCAGGGAACACAGCGAGTTGGGACCCCTGGGTGGCTCAGCGGTTTAGCACCGCCTTTGGCCCAGGGCGTGATCCTGCAGTCCGGGGATCGAGTCCCACGTCGGGCTCCCTGCATGGAGCCTGCTTCTCCCTCTGCCTGTGTCTCTGCCTCTCTCTCTCTCATAAATAAATAAAATATTTTTAAAAAGCAACAGCGGTAGAGGTGGCTTGGGCCCGGGTTATGTAGAAGGGCCTAGCAAATTATGCTAAGAAGCCTTAATTACGTTCTGGAAGCAACAGGAAACCATCGAAAAGCTTTTAAGTTGAGGTTTGTTGTCCTACTCATGTTTTAGGTAAATTATTCTGGATTCCAATATAAAGCTGGAATATCACAAACTAGATGAGAAATTAAACTGGGACAGTGAAAATAGGATTGAGAAAGTAAAATCAGCCCTGTTAATAATCAGACTGTGATGTACATATACAAGGGCAAAGACAAGAACAAGAAAAAAGAATGCTTCTCCTGAGGACATGCTGTAGCTACAGAATGATTAACAACCTCCATATTTTGAGGAAGATTGCATAACTTCCCTGGCCTAGCTTTGTTCCTTTCTCCTCCAACTCAAAATCACTGAGCTACCCAATCACTAAACTGCACCTGCTTCTCCTAGTCCATCCTTGGAATCACTCAGCAAACCCCCAAACTGCATAAAGCCTTGCCCTACTCCCTCTTAGAGAGATACTTGCAATAATATACCTCCAAATTAAATTTGTCTGGCTCAGTGCATCAGTAATTAGTGTCATAGAGGCTTTGGGATTGGACAGATGAGGAGACTCAAGCCTTCTCTCTCTGAGTAAACTCTTTTAATGTCCAGTCCTGAGTTTTCTCATCTGTAAAAATCAAGGTAGTGGTGATAGTTCACAAATGCATGCTCTATGTTGGCATAATGCCTGGCAATAGTGTCTCTGACACATTACCTGTTATTTCATCATCTTCACTTTGAAAACTCCCCTACCTCAAGAGTAGGTTGGTACTTGTCCTACATATGCTCCAAGCACAAATATTTCACCTTTTATAACTCCTGTCACACTATATTAAAGCTTCTTGCAGTAAATTTTAAATTCCTTAAAGGTGAACACTTGGTACTTATAGCCCCTGATGAGAGAATGCCCTGAGAGGCAAAAAATGTAGCTGTGCAAATCACCAATTTTGCTGGTTCCTGTGACCAGGAAACTCACTGAGAATCATTGAGAATTGCTGCCATTCTAAAAAGTGTTACTGTGTGGGTTCCTATAACATTTCTTATGAGTTGGACCAGAATTTCATGTCAGAACAATAAATAAGAATGACTTCTAGGAAAGGTGCCTGGGTCACTCAGTTGGTTGAGTGACTCTTGATTTTGGCTCAGATCATGGTCTCAGGGTCATGAGATCTAGCCCCATGTTGGGTTCCATGCTCAGCAGACAGCCTGCTTGGGATTCTCTCCCTCTGCCCCTTCTCCCACTTGTACACGCTCTCTCACTCACTCTCTCTCTCTCTAAAATAAATAAATCATTAAAAAATAATGTCTTCTAGGAAGATGCTCCTAATTAAAAAAGGATACAGATTTATATTTTATTATGACCTACAAATGAATATGAATTATATTTTATAGGAGTTAGACATTTATCCCACAAATTAACCACTGAATTCATCTTCATGCACAAGCTTGAATTGTGCAGGTTAATGTCATTACATAAGTTATCTTGAAAGCCAACTTCATCTCAAACTATAGCTACCATCATTTGAATTCAATAAACCATTAGATAAAAATAAGGTATGTATAAATTTCATGCAAAGATACATTGTACTATGATATCCTGATAAAGAGAACAAAACTATCTTTATTCTGCAACATAACATATATTTTTCTTGGTTCCTGACATACAACATCAACTTATTCTCAGGTATGTACATTTTAGTTTATCTCCCTATCTATGGGAAAAAGCCTAAATTTTGATTTTACATCATCAGTAGAAAATAGAAAACAAAATGACTAAAGAATGATCCATAAATGTATCTTACATTTATTGCAAGCATAAATGGAGAGCAAGAAAAAAAATGTCTACTTTCTGAAAGCCAGGATGGGACTCTGAATTAGTTTGGGTTTTTCTTGCTCTAGTAGGACTATGGTACAGGATTCATTCAATGATCAGTGCAGAAATTCTCAGAAAAGAAGATTCCACTTCTCACCTACCATTAATTTCAGTATTAGTCACCAGATTGATTCAGGTACATACAGTGGGGTCTCAAGTCCTTTCCAAAAGTCATTGCTATACCAATGGCTTTATATATTCTCCAGATTATAGTTATTACCTAAGATAGCAAAATAAAATACTTAAGGTAGTATATTAATATGAAAAGTACATATAAATCTATATTTATACAACTGATAAAAAGAGGAAAGAATTGGGGCACCTGGTGGCTCAGTCTGTTAAGCGTCTGCCTTCGGCTCAGGTTGTGATCTTGGGGTCCTGGGATCAAGCCCCACGTCAGGCTCCCTACTGACCAGGGAGTCTGCTTCTCCCTCTCCCTCTGCCCCCCTCAACTCATGGTCTCTCTTCATCTCTCCCAAATAAATAAAATCTCTTTAAAAAAAAGAGGAAAGAACTATGCAGCAATAGTGGTTATTACTCGATTCTGGTGATGAACTCTAAGCAACAAAACTGCTGGTGGTTTGAGAAGGAATGCTGGCAGAGTCAACATCCCCACCTAGAACCCAAACCAAAGTACCATTTCTGAAGAGGGGTTGAACTCAAAGATCAGGAATCAGAAAGTACAAAAATGCGGATGACAAGGGTCTTAGTCCTTCTGGGCTGCCATAACAATGTACCACAGACTGGGGAGCTTACAAACAACAGGAATTTGTTTCTCACAGTTCTGGAGCCTGGAAGTCCAAGATCAAGGTCCCAGCAGACTCAGTATCTGATGAGAACTTCCTTACTGGCTCATTGATGGCCATCTTCTTGCTGTGTCCCCACATGAGGGAAGGGGTGAGAGAGCTTTTGGGGGTCTCTTTTATAAAGGCACTAATACCATCATGAGGCACCGGCACAAAAATACCTAAAATGATCACAATACTGTGATTTTGCTAATATTCTACCAAAAGAAATGTGTCCCCCAGTGAACAAGGGAGAGACATCTTCCCAAACGTTCTTGAGGTAGATGCCTGCTTTTAGAAGAGCTACCTTTACCCTACCCCACACAGCCCTGGAAAGGAGAAAGGGGCTGGCAGCTTGTCCTATTGGTGATGTCAGGATATTGTGCCCTGATTTGACAGAAAGAGGTGAGCTGAGAAGCAGGTGCCTTTTGTTTTCCTGCTTTTTTAATAAATCTGATAGTTTTCCAGTCACTTTCTGATCTACATGGCAAAGGATGTCTCACTAATTTTACATTGTACATACTAAAAAATAAATAAACAAACAAACAGCTAATAGGAAGAAAAGGCCATTCAACAAATATTGATATTGTAAAGAAAGCATTTTATTATAGTATTTAATGAAAATGAGGAGCAGTGTTAATACAAAATTCTTTCTCAAGCCCTTTGACAGACCTCAAGTCCATTTTCCCCCTTTGAGTTCAGGAAGACACAAGTAAAACACTTTTGGAAGCACAAAAGACAAAAAGTTTCTTGTTAGGGTGTATCAGTAGCCCTGGAATCTGCAGCACCCCTTTGGAGGTCATACGACTAAGGCACAGGGCAAGGAGGAGGGACCACATTTCCCTAAGGCAGTTTCTATAACCTCCATGGAGAAGGTGACTAAGAGTTTATTATGCAAACCATGACATGGTTGAGAGTGAGAGGACGCTGTTAATCACACCAGAACACCAGGTGCAACTGAATCAGGTATGGCAAACTGGACACACCCAATAAAAACAACCTTTGTAGCTCTAAGATATAAGGGCAAATCAGGCATTGGTCCATTGGTTCTCACTCCAATTTGGAAGATTCACTGCAATATAATTTTGCACCAGGAGTTTACAAAAGGCCTAGGAAGAAGGCCCATGTGCTCTGGAAAATGCATATCTTATGTGTTTACCCTTTTAAAGGTAACTGTGGTTTGAACAGATCAATTAAATAAAATTAAGATATACATTTTCCCCCCACAATTATCTTTTTAAGAATTTTACTCATTTTCTTTCCAGAAAAGAAATGCACTCTAGAAGCGAATGCCTTCATCCTCTCCCTTTTTTAAGAGCACATAGCTCCCCAAACTTATACATATAGCTCCAAGCTTATTTTTTCCTACTGAATGTATTATCTATTGTTAATTGTGGTAAAATACACATAAAATTTACCATCTTAACCTTTTTCAGTGTAGAGTTCAGTAGTGTCAAATTTACTCATCCAACCCTGCCTTTGCAGATCAAATGATTAGCATCCTAATGAAAGGAATACTACTAGTAAATGCAATATGAGTTTGAACACAGGCTTATAGGCAACTAGAAATATTCCAAGATATTTAAAAGCAAAGGCAGCAATAGCATGGATTCCTCAGAATATGTAGAGTTCTCTAGATTTTAGCCTGTTAAGTTTCTCTCCTTGTTACTGTAGCAAGTCTTCTAAGCTATTGTATAAATTGGGAAGTTGAGCACCTGCCTTGCATAGAACAATGTAATAAAGTTCAGCAGTTCAAGGGAAGCCATGAGGCCAAGATGGTTCTGTCATAGTGGAAAATATTATATTTTATGAAACAGTGTACAAACAATGCAAAATAATACTATAAACTATAGATTTATATTACTAGTCTTTTGAAAAAGATTTCTATAAATATGTCATGAAAGAATTTTAAATTCTAGGCCCTTCAAGCATTTTCTTTAAAATGTTCTGCATACGCTTTCCATATGATCAAGTCTTGAAGTAATATATCTGATCTTCAGAAGTGAAAATAGAAAAAAAAAAGTGGAAATGGATTCCTAGTTATAAATTCTTGTTTTCTTTGAATTACAAAATATTTTTTCTATCTTGTAAGTTAATGGTAAGTAAGTAAGCATATCACGTACTATGAATGACAATGAAAGGTCAGGACAAATATATTCATTGAGAAGGCCTTATAAAAGAATATACATTCATGTTTTGAAATAAAATATATGTAAAACCATGGCCAATGTTCAGCTAGCCAGGAAGTACCAGCCTGGACTCTGAGGCTATTTCTAAGAGGCCTGCCTTCTGAAGGATCAGTGTCTGTGTTCAATTGTTCAATATTTTGATTACCATCCCTACTTATAGCTCTATAGAAGTACTAACTGATAAACATAAAAAGACACTCAGAAATATCAGACATGAAAAGACATTACAATTATCAACAGGCTGCTGTAGGAGAAACTTGAGTCTCTTGCTGCTACTTCAGCGTTAAACATCATTATCAATAAAATTAAGAACTTTGTCTACCAAAGAGCTTTCCTCAAAGACTCATGAGAGTACTGCTACACAAGAAATGCACGCCTCTAATTATTATTAAATGCAGGTGTTTCAAATAGTCTAGTTGCAATTTTTAAAAAGCTATTATTTATTAAAGCAAAGTACTGCCCAGATATGAGCATCTCAGGGGGTCACTTGGCTAGTTGAAGACTGGGGTTTCACTTGTATATTCAGTACATAATCATGACGGAAGGAAGAGCGGACAGTGCGATTCATCAGGGGCTGGAGGGGGCGGAAATTGTCCACCATTCTTTTCTCCTTCTCCCCCTCTGATGTGAAAAGCAGAGTCCGAAACTGCTCAAGCTAGAATAGAAGTAGGAAGCATAAAGAATTTCAATAGAGTAACAGCTTAACTTCATGAATAAATTACTTTCAGTTTTACAATTGTGAAACATTCTGCCAACAATACACAAAACAACTTATTTCTGGGTGGGAATGCCTTCTCTGCTGGACAGGGAATAAAATGTGTGGGAGGAGAGTGACAGGAGGTGGTAAAGCCGATGAGGTACTTGGGGTCTGAAGACTGGGGGTCAAAGGCCCAGTCCCCCATATATTGGCCATTTGCCAAGGACCAGTTACTTTATCTTTGATTCCAGGAGCCCCATCTTTAAATGGGGAAAATAAGTAGCCTACAGGATAATATAGGGAAGGACTGATACCTATAGTAACAGTGCCAAAAATGTTTCGTTTCTTTAAAATGTAGCCGAATCATTAATACAATGTATTTTCATTGCTCCAGACCTGGGCATTGTGGGAAAGGTGGTACATGTGAGTATCTTCTTAACAGGCAGTGGGATGCCCCCTGCCAGCACTGTCCAAGAGAACTTTCTGTGATGATGGAAGTGTCTTCTGCATGACTCATTACAGTAGCCACAAGCCACATATGGCTACTGAGTGCTTGAAATGTGGCCAGTGCAACTAAGGGACTGAATTTTTACGTATTTATTTATTTTTAATTTTTTAAGGTTCATTTATTTATTTTTTAGTAATCTCTACACCCATCGTGGGGCTCGAAATCACAATCCCGAGATCAAGAGTTGCATGCTCTACTGACTGAGCCAGCCAGGAGCCCTGCAACTGATTTTTTTTTTAAGATTTTAATTATTTATTAGAGACACAGAGAGAGGCAAAGACACAGGCAGAGGGAGAAGCAGGCTCCATGCAGGGAGCCCGATGTGGGACTTGATCCCGGGTTTCCAGGTTCACGTCCTGGGCTGAAGGCAGCGCTAAACTGCTGAGCCACCTGGGCTGCCCTGTAACTGAATTTTTAATCTGATTTTTATTTTAATGTACTTATATTTAAATTTAAATGGTGACATGTGACTGGTGGCTACTGGATTGGACAGTGCAGCTCAGATGAAAAGGAGCAGCCCCAAATCAAGGGCCTCTTCTCTAACATGGCAATGGCATCATTCACCCCTTGGCTTTCTGAGCAACCATATTCTGGAACACTTGACTTCAAGCCAGGCCATAAAATCTTTTCACAGCATTTCTCCTCACTCAGGCACACTGCAGCTATGGAGAGGACAGTGTGAAGGCACAGTAGGCAAGCATGTGAAGATTTGTTTGGATCAAAGACTTCAGGTCAAGTACAGCTGCAGAGGCAGGACTGTGACCAGGAGCAAGTACCAAACATGGTAACTATACATGCAAATTACACATATATCCTCATAAATTAATAATGTGTCCAAGTAGTTAAGATTTATTTTTATTCAGCTAATTACAAGATTAGAAATAGCTCAAATATCAATAATAAGTTACATTAGATCTATAAAATGGACTATATCTAGTCACTAAAAATGATGTTGGAGATAATGTTATTATCTATAAAATGTTCCACATACCATTGAGTAAAAAGAGGAACAAAATGGTAGGTACAGAATGATTCCATTTGGTTAAGAAATTTATGCATATTTGGGCAGCCCGGGTGGCTCAGCGGTTTAGCGCCACCTTCAGCCCAGGTCCTGATCCTGGAGACCCAGGATGGAGTCCCATGTCAGGCTCCCTGCATGGAGCCTGCTTCTCCCTCTGCCTGTGTGTGTGTGTGTGTGTGTGTGTGTGTGTGTGTGTGTGTGTGTATCTGTCTGTCTGTCTCTCTGTCTTTGTCACTCATGAATAAATAAATAAAAATCTTCAAAAAAAGAAATTTATGTATATTTATACAGATAAAAGACCAAAAGGATTTATGTTTATCTGTATAGACAAACAACCAGAAGGATTTATCCAATGACCAACACTGATTGCGTTGACAGGTGACTGGGATTATAGATGGCAGCTAACATTTCTTTTCTTACTGAGTTTTCTGTATTGAGATTTCATTTGAAACCTCCTCACATGGGCCACTGACCCTCTGATTTACTGATTTTACAGATTTATTTTTCAGTGTTAGGTCAATTTTTAAATATGAAGTATAGACACAGACTAAACGTATACGCCACCAAGCCCAGGCTTATGGACAGTTAAGCTCTGTATTTTGTCATTTGTTTTTGGTAGTTCTCATCACACAGATTTAAAAAAATTACATGGTCTAATTTACTAGTTGCTTTCTTTAGGACTTCTGGTTTTGATATATAGTTAGAAAAGCTTCCTCTATTTGGAGGTATAAAAAGATTTCTCTATGCTTGTCCTAGCACTTTTATGGTGGAGTTTTTAACATTGAATGTATCTGGAATATATTCTTGTTTGAGGTCTGAATGGTGGATCTAACTTTTCTCCCCCAAATGTCTAACAAGTTGTCCCTCAACAGCATTTATGGGAGACTCTCATCTTTTCCCCCATTGAAATGAGATGCTACCTTTACCACAAACTCAATTCTTATATGTACTTGGATGTATTTCTGAACTTAATCACTTTCTCCCCTCCAGTGATCTCTTTATTTGTCTGCCAGGGCCACACTACTAACTATTGAGGCTTTATAAATATGTGGATCTAATCAGCTCTCATTTCCTTTTTTTTTTAAGTATTTATTTATTTATTTGAGAGAGAGAGAGAGAGAGAGAGATGGCCAGAGACAGCACGAGACAGGGCTCTATCCCAGAGGCAGGGCTCTATCTCAGGAGCCCAATATCATGACCCGAGCTGAAGTCAAACGCTTAGCCCACTGAGTCACCCAGGCGCCCCCCACCCCCACCTCATCTCTCATTTTCTCTTTCAGAATTTTCCCTGGCTATTTATGCTTGTTCGTTTTTCTGCATGATTTTAGAAATAGCACATCTATCCAGAAATCCTATTGGCAAAGTAAATGGACCATATCAAACTTATGGAGAATAACAACTGAAGGAGAGGGGCGCCTGGGTGGCTCAGTGGTTGAGTATTGGCCTTTGGCTCAGGTCGTGATACTGGAGTCCTGGGATCAAGTCCCACTTTGGCTTCCTGCATGGAGCCTGCTTCTCCCTCTGCCTGTGTCTCTGCCTTGGTGTCTCTCATGAATAAATAAATAAAATAAAATTAAAAAAAAAAACAACTGAAGGAGAATTGATATCAAAGGCGTCTTTATGCTGTCTTCTGATTTAATAGAATGGTATCAATTTTATGAATTCTTTTGTGTCCTTCAGGGATGTTTTAAGATTATATGCTAAATTTTCTTGTTAAGCCTACCTCAAGGCATTTTATCTTTTTGTTTCCATTATAAATAGTGTTCATTCTTCCATTATAACTTTATATCATTATATCCTTTAACTGATTGTGATTTATATATATTACATGTATTGATTTCTATAAATTAGTATTATACACCACTAATTACTGAATTACCTTATTTTTGAGGTAGTTTTTTTTTTATTGTTTCTCTAATGTGTTTTTTCTTTTTTGGTGTAATCATATTGGCTACTTCCAGAACATAATACAAAATTGTATATGGTAATAATATTTCCATATTAAGCATACTATTTATTTTTGAACTGAGAGCAATCCCTTTTATCAATTTAGGGAAATATCCATTCATTTCTATTTTATTTAAACATTTAAGAAACTGAGGGTCCCCAGAGTGGCACAGTGGGTTGAGCATATGACTCTTGGTTTTTGCTCAGGTCATGATCTTGGGGTCATGGAGTCAAGCCTTGCAACTGGGCTAGGGCTCTGAGCTCAGTGAGTAACTTGCTGAACCTTCTCCCTCTCCCTTTCCCCTCCCTGCACATGCACTCTTTCTCTCTCAAATAAATAAACCTTTTTTAAAAATTTAAAAACTGGGGATGCCTGGGTGGCTCAGTGGTTGAGCGTCTGCCTTTGGCCCAGGGAGTGATCCTGGAGTCTCGAGGTCAAGTCCTACATCAGGCTCCCTGCATGGAGCCTGCTTCTCTCTGCCTATGTCTCTGCCTCTCTCTCTCTTTCTCATGAATGAATAAATAAAATCTTTTTTAAAAATTTAAAAACTGAATAGTGAATTTTGCTAATGCCTTTTAACATATAGAAATGATTATATGATTTTTCTATGTAGATTCACAGATATGATGAATTATACTAATATTATTCCTAATAAGGAACCATCCTTGCTTTGTTGGAATACATACTACTTGGTTGAAGTGTATTATTTCTTCTAATGTACTGCTTGCTTCCTTTTTTAAAAAAGATTTTATTTTTTATTTGTCAGAGAGCGAGCAAGAGAGCACAAGCTGGGGGAGCAGCAGGCAGAGTGAAAGGCAGGCTCCCTGCTGAGCGAGCCCAATGACAGCTTGTGCTCTCTTGCTCACTCTCTGACAATTAAAAAATACAATCTTTTTAAAAAAAGGAAGTAAGCAAAAAAAAAAAAAAAAAAGGAAGCAAGCAGTACACTAGAAGAAATAATACACTTCAACCAAGTAGTATGTATTCCAACAAAGTAAGGATGGTTCCTTATTAGGAATGATATTAGTATAATTCATCATATCTGTGAATCTACATAGAAAAATCATATAATCGGGCAGCCCTGGTGGCACAGCGGTTTGGCGCCGCCTGCAGCCTGGGGTGTGATCCTGGAGTCCCGGGATCGAGTCCCACATGGGGCTCCCTGCATGGAGCCTGCTTCTCCCTCTGCTTGTGTCTCTGCCTCTCTCTGTGTGTCTATGAATAAATAAATTTAAAAAATAATAAAATTATTTTAAAAAATAATAAAATTCTTAAAAAAAGAAAAATCATATAATCATTTCCATATGTTAAAAGGCATTAGCAAAATTCACTATTCAGTTTTTAAAATTTTTAAAAAGATTTTATTTATTTATTCATGAGAAAGAGAGAGAGAGGCAGAGACATAGGCAGAGAGAAGGAGTGAAAGGCAGGCTCCCTGCTGAGCAAGCCCAATGACATGGGACTCAATCCTAGGACCCTGGGATCATGATCTGAGTTGAAGGCAGATGCTTAACCAACTGAGCCACCCAAGCATCCTTGTCTGCTAGCTTGTTTCTCATATATTGTTTTTGCTTTCTTTAAAATATATTCTTCAGAGGAGCACCTAAGTGGTGAGGTTGATTAAGCACCGGACTCTTGGTTTCAGCTCAGTTCATGATCTCAGGGTTATGAGATAGAGCCTTACATCGGGCTCCACACTGGGTGTGGAGCCTACTTAAGATTCTCTCTCCCTCTGCCCCTCGCTCTCTAAATTAAAAAATAAATCTTTATATATATATATATATATATTTCTTCAATCTTAATTTTTTTTCAATCTTTATTTTTTGATGCAAGATTTGATGGATGTTGGTATCAGCTATCCTGGCTTCATAAAAAAGATTTTAGAAGCTCTTGCTCTTGTGAAAATGCTTTGTAATTAATAAAAAGCCCATAGAGCAAGCATATACAAGTATTATTGTAACTTAGTTAAATTATGAATTAGACAGGATTTTGTGCATTGACATAGTAATCACCACTTAAACTTACTTTTTTTTTAAACTTAATTTTTAAAAAGAAAATAAACTCTGAAATTCAAAACATCTGACTTAGAATTTCTGGACATTGTTGGATTCTGTCTTTATCCTGAAGTTCCAGAGCAAAATTTCCATAGGATTTTAAAGGGTTTTGAGCACATTCATTTCCAGCCTTCATTCTTCCTTTTAAAAGGGTCTTGTTTATATAGAGATTCATATTTATATATAAAATACACAATGCATAAGACATATGTCATTGCCAAATATGAAAGTAAAAACCTTGTTTCCTCAATTTTAACTCTTCTCTCTAGTTGATTTGAAGCCTTCTCTAATTTATACCCAAATTTTAAGACAAGATGTTAGCACATTTTAATAAAAATGTATAAGCATTACAAGATGTTAACAACGGATGCCAAAGTTGGAGCCCAGCCTTGTTTTAAAGGGACAGACTAGCATTTCCTCATACAGAAATGTGGAAAGAACATACCTGATCATGATCAACCTCTACGGGCTGCTTCTTAATGATCCAGGTGACAGACTCAGAGAGTGGAGGGGTAGTCAAGGACCCCGAGTAGGTCCAGTAATCTGGGCAGGCAGGCATCAGGCAGGAAGGATCAAATGACCCAAATTCCACAAGGGTGTCCTGGCCAAGAGAAGGGGTCACCGAAACTATCATTCAGCGCGAAAACCACTCAGGAATTGCAAGACAAGGCCCTGATTCCTGGGGAGGCTGGGGACCAGCACTGGTCCAGAGGAGTTGCAGGTACCTCTGGGTGCCTAAGGACAGAATCACACCCATGCTTTGTTCCTACATATAATCCACTGTGCAAGGTTCTCTTTTTTAAAAAAGAGACATAAAAGATTTTAATTGAGACATAATTGACAACAGTATAGTCCTGACAGTCCTCCACGGGAACACGGCAAAAACCACCTTCTCTGCCCAGTCTAGTGAGTTTGCTGCAGGTGGTCTGCTCTGACCTCTTTGGGAGGCATCAGGTGGTAGCTGGTGCATGAACAAGGAGGCTCCCCTTTTTCAAGAAAAAGGAATAGAGTTCTCCTTTCTAAAACACAATGCAAATTCAGGGGAGCCAGGCCCCTGGGAGGAAAGGGGAGACAGAAAGAGGGGAGGAAAAAGAGGGAGGTGGAGGGGAAGAGGGAAAGAGGTAGTGGGGAGACAGCCAGGTGGGTGGAGGTGGGGGGAGAGAGAGAAGATGTGGACCCCCAGGGAACAGCCCCTTTGGGATCCTGAATACTGGACAGTTAACCCTGGGGCCTGCACAAAGGTAGATCCTGAAGGATATGGGTAACTGTTCTTTACAGCTAGTCAAGCCAAGGTTCTGTCAGACTCTTCTCTGCCCCCTGCCTGTGAGAGGGCAGGTAGAGTCAACAGGGCTGCTCTGGGTGCTTCCACAGGGACTCAGAAGGAGCAGAGGAGGGGACAGCGCTGTGTTCCCGAGTCCCTGAGCGCTGGGGCATGGCAGCAAAACCAGAGGTCAGTGCCCACCAACAGAATCACTTCTGTGGCCTTCAAGGTGTCCCAGGACCAGGGGCTCAACAGATGCATCTTAAGTGGCAAGTTGTCTTCCGAGGCAACTTTCAAAGTGCCTTGTCAACGTCTCCACTCTGAGATCAAATGTAAGATAAGTTTCAAGTGATTTAGGGAGAATAGTATTACCTTATGCTTGATTGATGGCAAGGTATCCACCAATTTCTGTAGTTCTTGGTGATGTTTGCCTAACTAAAGAAGGAGCAATGAGAAAATATTAAAAACAATTGACATTCACTTTTGAAATAGTAACAGAATGTGAATTAAAATTAGCCACCTGGTAATTACATAAAAACAAATCAATCACCCTATTTAAACTACACTTAAACTGGTAATTTAGATCACTATAAACATCACAGAATTAAAGTAGACACAGAACAAATGAGCAGGCTGTTTGCTGACAGGGTCAGTGTGCCTGCAGGGAAAAGTACCCCTGCTCCATTCAGATATCAGTTCTTGTGTTGAAATTTTAATTAATTAAAATTAAAAATTGTTCCACAAAATAGCCACATTTCAAGAGCTCATTTACGTAATGTGGCTCATGACTACTCTATTGGACTGCATTTTTATACCGTTTGAAATATATTCATAGCAATCTTGTATTTTAACCATTGTTTTTTCTTTCTTGTTTTCTTAAATTGAAGTATAGTTGACACACAATGTTACAATAGTTTCATGTGTACAACATAGTGATCCCACAAGTCAATCATTATTTCTTTTTACCTCACTATAGTTAGATTTTTTTTAAGATTTTATTTATTTATTCATGATAGACACACACAGAGAGAGAAGCAGAGACACAGGCAGGGAGCCTGACGTGGGAATCGATCCTCGGTCTCCAGGATCAAAACCCGGGCTGAAGGCGGCGCTAAACCGCTGAGAGGCTGCCCCTCAGATCTTAATATCACATTCTTACCTTTAGAAATACTCCTATTACAGCCAAACCATGTTCTTCTAGTGCTGCATCCTCAAAGTTTTCAAATTTGACTGCATTCCAATGTACCAAGTGCAGCTGAAACACCATTAAAAGCAGGTTTGACACAGGACCATACAGGATCACTCCAAAGCAAACAGCCCTATTCAACACATCATATTTTAACATGTTTCCTCGCCCAAAACAATGCCACTGAGAAAAGAAAATACACCAATCTGGTGCAAAATGAGATAGAAATAAATAGCAGGAAGAACTGCATGCAGGAACAGTAATTAATATTCCTCTTTTTTTAAAAAAAAAGATTGATTTATTTATCTTGGTGAGGGAGAAGGGGTTGAGGGAGAGGGAGAGACTCAAGCCGACTTCATTACTGAGTGTGGAGCCCAACATGGGGCTGGATCCCAGGACCCCGAGATCATGACCTGAGCCAAAATCTAGAGTTAGCCGCTCAACTGACTGAGCCATCCAGGTGCCCCTAATATTACTTCTGAATAGAGGGATTTATCTGGAGAAAAATAAAACGAATACAGCAAGGTGAGTAATAGTTCAGTGAGGGAGTAACGTCTGTCCATTCCCATTCTGATTTGCATTAAACCATCATATCAAAAATCCATTTGCATCTTAAGGAGGGATGTTTATATTGAGAGAAATAGATTCTCTCCATGGGAATTAGACAAGAGTTGAAGACAAATTTCTTTGAGGGATAACCACTTAAAACGCATTTCTTTTTTTTTTTTTTTTTAATTCATGAGAGACACAGGCAGAGGGAAAAGCAGGCGCTTCACAGGGAGCCAGATGTGGGACTTGATCCCAGATTCCAGGATCACGACCTGGATCAGCCAAAGGCAGGCGCCCAACTGCTGAGCCACCCAGGCGTCCCCACACGTGTTTCTTTTTAAGGTATCATTTAAAACTAAATTAAGGGGAAAATTGTAAGAAGAAATTCTATTTCCCTTTGCATTTCCTATTCCTCCCTACAAATTATTTCTTGTCCATCATTCATAAATGCATCATCACCCAGTTTCCCAAATATACCCTCAAGGTCACAGTTCACTTGTTCGTCTCTCCTGAAATGGACCTTGCCTCCAAGTTCTGTTGCTTTTATTTCAGAAATGCTTGTTAAATCTTGCTCTTTTTCTCTAATTTTATTGCCACAGCCTTCATTTAGGCTGCTACCAATTCTCACTTGGATTAATTCAACCTGGTGACCCTGCATTGTTGCCTCGGTTATAACTTCAGGCTTTAATTTGAGCCTAGCTTAGAATTCTAGAAGGATTGTTTTAGGATCTTTTTTTAAAAAAATATTTTAATTATTTATTTGACACAGAGAGCAAGAGAGAGAGAAAACACAAGCAGGGGGTAGGAGAGGCAGAGAGAGAGAAGCAGGTTCTCTGCTGAGCAGGGAACCCAACGCAGGGCTGGATCCCAGGACCCTAGGATCATGACCTGAGCCAAAGGCAGTAGCTTAACCATTGGGCCATCCAGGTGCCCCCCTGTTTTAGGATCTTTTTTTTTTAAAGATTTTATTTATTTATTCATGAGAAACACACAGAGAGAGGCAGAGACATAGACAGAGGGAGGCAGGCTCCTCGCAGGGAGCCCGATGTGGAACTTGATCCCAGGACCCCAGGATTGCACCCTGAGCCAAAGGCAGATGCTCAACTGCTGAGCCACCCAGGTGCCCCCTCCCCATTTTAGGATCTGAAGGTTCACTTCTGCTCTATCATTTGGGATGAGAGTAGATTATCATTTTTACACGTATAAACTGGGAATAATCAAATATGCCCGAGGGAGCTATTTCGCATTTATCGGTATCACCTGATTGTTCCTGAGACTGTCTTAAAAACTCAGCACTATCCCCACTTCACAGTTGTCACTGTTCCCAAGCTGCTCAACATACCTCTGCCGGGTAACATTTGCTGTCCACAGTATGCTCAGAGCCCCAAGCATCGATGGCCCCCCAGTGAAAATGGAATTGCTTCAGTCGGTAGTTGTCCTCCAGGGGTCCTCCCTTGATAACTGAAATGGCACATCCAACAATTCAGGGGACAGTTTTTCACACCATGGAGGGATGTGGGGCAAAGGCCAGATCTTTGGGTGGACCTTCTATATGAACTGTCCTAAGTGGAGTGCACTGGATTAGATACAAGTGTATATAAACTTGATTTCCACAAAGTCAATACATGGATCAGGGCACAACCTGTACTCTGAAAGACACTGAGATTTAACTACACTCCAAGCTACCTACAACCGTTAAAAGCCAATTCTTGACTTATTTTTATATTCTATATTTACTGAGCCCACTTTTTTTTACAGGGACATGAAATAGTGTAAGGGTTTTATTATCAAAGTCTTGTAAAACATTTTTAGAAACTGTACATCAACATGGCAGACTGTAGCCTTACTGTAGTTTTTACTGCACAAAAGTGAAGCTTGAAACTCCTGTAACTAAGAAAACAGTTGCCTATTTTGCATTTCACATGGGATCACTGTATGGATTAGATTACTATGGCAGTAATACTAACAAATTCATTGGTTTTATGCTTGAGATCAAATAAAAAGTATATTATAAACTAGATCTGTCTTATTTTAAAAGCTTAATGAAGGTCAATTTAAAATGTACTACCCCCTTTTTGCAACACTGAGATGACAACAAATTAATAAAAGGATGGAAAACTGAAAATCAGGGCAAGAGATAACTTTCTTTTACAGATGGATTCAGGGTAGGCAGATGGCTTTCACTGATGTAGAGGTGAAATAAATTATTTCAAGAAAAAAAAATTCCAAACACCTTAATGAAAACATATACAACTCTACTTCAGAATACTTTTTTTTTTAGACTTTTTATTTATTTATTCATGAGAGACACAGAGACAGAGAGAGGCAGAGACACAAGCAGGCTCCATGCAGGGAGCCTGACGGGACTCGATCCTAGGTCTCCAGGATCAGACTCTGGGCTGAACCGCTGAGTCACCTGGGTTGCCCTACAACTCTACTTCAAATTATGCTATTTACTTACCACCAAAGACAGTTTCATTTGAAATCTTGTTTCTATAATTAAAGGCTAGTAGGCCATCCAAAAATGTGAATGCATGTATAAGCTTTTAAAGTTAAACAAAAAACACAATTTGACCACAAGGCTTAAAGGATGATCTCTTTCAAATGTTCATTTTCTGATGTAACTATAGTAATGCTAATTTGTCATGTCAGCAAACAAGACCGTAAGTAGATCCATCATGTTGGAGGATTTTAATAACATTTAGGATATTCCCGCCACAATTAACATGGAATCAGTGCATTTCCTATATGGCTCTATTACCGCAATGAGTCAAATTCTAGAAATATGATAATTGAACTTAATATAAGGAGATCATACAACATAAACAATCTATGCCTTCTGTAGATACACGAAGCATTTGTTTTGTTATGAAGCAGCACCAGAATAGTAAAACCGCTTGGTTACACAATCAGATTTCACCCTGTCAAGACTGGATACTCCTGAATCATTTTCCACAAGCGCTACAATGTAAATAGCTAATATCACTATCAGCTATGTAACCATTATAACTCAGAGCTGTATTCATCTAGGTTTGAGACGAACAAATGCAGCATTAAGAAATCACACAAAGGAACGGCACTGGTGCATGAATCCAGTTGGCTCCCCCAAGGAGGCAATATTTGGCCACTCACAATCATGTCTTCTTCAAGATGATCATCTCCATTCACTTTGGATTCTCTTCGTGAATCACCAGTTCGCTTTCCCACAGAACATTCTTTTGTTTTAGGAGAACTTGGTTCTATTGGTTTCTTCTTTTCTCTCTTTCTTGCTGTCATTCCTTTGTTCCTCCTCATCCTAATGCCATGTGACTTTTACATCTTTGTCACTCTCTGATTTTTCATTCCTGATCATCCTTTTCCCTATCTCTCCTTTTCTTCTTCTTTCTTGTTGATTTTTCTCCTTCATCTCTGCTTCTTTCTTTGTCTTTTTCTTTCTTCTTCTCCTTTTTGTCTCCTAGGGGATGATGAGAAAGATACTTTCTTTCCTTTTAGGCGACCCAGGCTTTTTAGGAGATCTTGTGCCACTCATACTTCACTGTTGTCTCTCTCTGCTTGTAATTCTGGAATGTCTGGCTGTGCTATAACTTTTTGGTGGTGTTTTGGAACGGTCCTTTTCTTTTTTTTTTTTTTTTATAAATTAATTTTTATTGGTGTTCAATTTACCAACATACAGAATAACACCCAGTGCTCATCCCGTCAAGTGTACCCCTCAGTGCCCGTCACCCATTCACCCCCACCCCCCACCCTCCTCCCCCTCCACCACCCCCAGTTCATTTCCCAGAGTTAGGAGTCTCTATGTTCTGTCTCCCTTGGAACGGTCCTTTTCTTGATCTTCTTTCTTTTTGTCCCTGGCTTTTGGGGTGCTCCTTGACCTTCTACTTCTCTCTCTGGAATGAGATCTTCTCTGTATTGGACTTTTGAATCATCACCTACTCCTTGACTTAGAATGTGATCTCCCTCTTGATCTGCTTCTTGATTGCCTGTGCCTAGAAGATGAGGGAGTTCTCTTCCTAGAACATGATCTTGACCTTGAGTTACTGTACCCATTTTTTAAGTGCAATAAAATGCAAATTTCTCTTAGCATATTTATCCAATCCAAACTCCTAAAACTGGGCAGCCCTGGTGGCTCGGCGGTTTAGCACCGCCTTCAGCCCAGGGCCTGATCCTGGAGACCCAGGATCAAGTCCCACGTCAGGCTCCCTGCATGGAGCCTGCTTCTCCCTTTGCCTGGGTCTCTGCCTCTCTCTCTCTCTGTCTCTCATCAATAAATAAATAAAATCTTAAAAAAACTCATAAAACTGAAATATGGGGACAAAAGATATGCCCTTTCTTTTTTATACACTGATACTTTTTTTTTTCTTAAGTAAACTCTGCACCCAACGTGGGGCTCCAACTCACGACCCTGAGATCAAGAGTTGGTTGCTCTACCAACTAAGCCAGCCAGATGCCCCTTGCTTTTCAATTTTGGAAGATACTAGTGTTTCTCTCCCTTTCATTGAAATGGAATAAAAAATTTACAAGTGAAAAATTATCACCTATCTCTCTTTGAACAAAGTGAACAATGTGAGTCATCCACACTCTACCACTGGCCTCACCATGTTGGATAATACGTGCCTTCTGTTTAGAGTTTTCTAAACTAGTGAAATCAATACATTAAATGCAAAATATTGAGAAAAAAATGAGATTTTAAAATCACCCTTCTTCGGGCTTTGGGTTGTGCTGATTTTTTTTTCTTGAATTTGCTAACACATATTAATTAGTTCCTCATTTCTTCCGTCTAATCCAACCCTGGTGATGTCTGTCCATGGTTAAACCAATACATCAGCATAAAGCCCACCCATCTCATCTATCTTAGTAATCTTTAGAGTTTCTTGCATCATTTGTTGAATTTTATGTATGACTACAGCAATCCCAAGGACCAAATATATTGGATATGTCATGCACTAGTCTGCTATCTTACTGCCTTTTGAAAATATTTTACATAATTTCTCCTTTAAAACAAAAGTTTTCAAAAAGGTGAGCAAAGACACCAATGACCACTTTTTTTTGAAGGGCAGGGGAGGTACAGAGAATAATACCATATAATTCACTAAATTAATAGGAGGCACGCTGAAATAAAAAATTAAATATCTTCCAAAAACTTGTTTTTCTATGCCAGCTCCATATTGTGAGCTTGACTTTGGCAAATATTTAATCTGATCTGTTTCATGAAATTGAAGTTCTTGTCCTAAGTTAAGATACCTCAACCACAGCCCAGTATGAGACCCAGAGCGAGAGTACCCAGGTAAGCTGCATCAGATTCCCCATCTCTGGGCATGGTGTGCAGAACTCTCCATGTACCACCTCCTGCCTACCTCAGGACTTGCTTGGTTCTTCCTTCTTGCACTTTACACAGTAAGACCTAATACAAGCATGGCACTGCCTTGAACTTCCACCTCCTCATGGACTGCCCAGGTGTCACCTCTGCCAGGAAGCCTTCTCCCACCAGACCCCACTTGAACACTTCCCTAATGGCATTTAGCACTCTGCATTAGTATTGTCTCTTCAAGGGGATGTCTCCCCACCATGCTATAAGCTCCCTAAAGGCAGCAACCATCCCTTCTTCCTCTTTCCATTCTGAACACCTGGGAAGTGCCTGGCACTTAGAAGATCAGCAATGAAACCAGGAACTAAAGAAGCAGACTGCCAACTGTCTGTTGGGTTTGCTAATTGAAGTATCACTCGTTTCCTCAGCAAGAGTGAGGATAAGGGTGGGGTCAGGTGGGGCAGAAGTGAGAGGGGTGAAGTGGAGTCAGCAAGAAACAGGCACAGAGGGGAGACAGAAGGTAGTAAATTAGAAAGTAGACTAGTCATAAGACATATCAAACAAATATATACTTATTTGAGGTTGTTGACACTTTGTTCTTTCAATTTTCTAAGATGAGCAAGGATTAAACTTGTAAAAAATTAGATAACAAATATAAAATACCCAGCCTAGCACTGGGCCTATGGTGAACAATCTACGTAATGTTCACTCCCTTATTTTGCTTTTAATGTGGAAGTGAAGGAGCTAGCAGAGGAAGGGATGATGAAGGAAAAGGCGGTACACAAGACCCATACAAATCCAACTAAATGCAAGGAAATGGGCATGAAATGTTCTGGGGTAATGGAAATATTTAAAAAATTGGACTGTCCTACGCTATAAATTTGCTAAAAATCATTACATTGTTTTCTATAAAAAAGTAAAGGCAGGACCAAAATTAGGAAGGAGAACTTCAAATGTCTGTGGAAGCATGCTTCCTGGGTTTACCAGTGATGCCCTATAAAAGTGTTAAGTGACCTAAGATGCGGCAGAAAGCACCCTTAGGAGAACAACAGGACTCATTTCTTCCTCTCTTCGAGGCCTGGTGACATAGCCAATGAGAGAGAGTACTTTCAGAGGAGGTGAAATTAGAGATCATTCATGCGCTTCAGCCCAGGCATAATTTAGTGCCCTTCCCCACAATATTTTCTATCCCTCACATACACTCATCAAAAAATTGAACTGTGTCCTACTCAGGGGAGCCAAATAACAAAACAATACCCAGCGAAGGGCAGTGGCATGAGATGCTCACATACCTTCTCTTATTTTCCTTTTAATTTCTGTAAGGTTGGTGGTGATGTCTCCTCTTTCATTTCTGATCCTAGTAATTTGAGTTTTATTTGTTTTCCTTGGTCCACCTATCTAAAAGTTTATCGGGTTTGTTGATCTTTCTGGAGAACCAACTTTTGACTTCACTGATTTGTGCTCTGTTCTTTATTATGCCCATCTTTGTGTTTGCTTTGGGTTTAGTTTGCTCTTCTCCTTCTATCCTTAAAGCTAGGTTATTGATTTGAGAAATTTCTTCTTCACCAATAAAGATATTTTCATGTCTAATTTCCCTCTAAGCACTACTTTTGCTGCATCCCATAAGGTTTGGTATGTTTCCTTTTTGTCACATACCTTCCCCTTTCCTTGCATACCTTATCCCGAGTCTTTGTAAAGCACACTGCAGCAGCATTTCCTAACTTTTAAAAAATTTATAGACATTGATATTTATTAGCTCCTTTCTTTTCTAGAGTTAAAATTGGTTCTTGCCTTTCTTCGTTTCTAGGAAGTCTTTGCTCTCTTTTTCTTTATGTTTTATGTTCATTCACTCTTTCTTCCTCTTTGAATGCTATGAATTATTTTGCAACAGCATGGAGAAATAGCAATGAAGAATAAGCAGGAAATAGCAGGCAATCACTGAAATGTGGAAAAATAAAGAGAGAAAGTTAGGTACTTATCAAAGGTTAATGGTATCTTAAAGAAAATGATTATTAAAGCATAATAAAAAGGGGTTACCTGTTTGGTCTTTCCTAACAAAATAAGTGGAAAATTAGAAGCCTCTCTACAATTTTTCTTGTATATTTTGTAAAAACAGTGTGACACTGACACACCTAGGAAAGGTAACATCAAGGAATGATTTAGTTAGCTGTGTTGGGGGGTATCTTATGAGTTATTATGAGGAAAATGCAGATCATTTGTTTTCCATCTGAGATTGACCAAGCAAATGGTTAGATAAGAATTCTTGAGTCTAAAAAATAAAACAGAAAGCTATTTGCTTTGAATGATCTGGAGATTAACTTACTTGGTTAAGAAACTTACTGAACAACTTCCCATAATTTCCAACTCAGTGAAGCAATCATATATTGGAAACACACAGTCTCTACTGGCAAGGTCAATAGAAGACTGACCAACATTTAGGATTCTCAGAAGAAAAAAAAGAAGGTTGCCAGGGACCTAGAGAGCATTATTTAGACTTGAGAGGATTACTGCTCATCCCGAGTGCACGTATGAGAGTTGGTGTTTACAGACTAGGTCTGCCCACTAGTCTAGTTGGCAGGAGTAATGGTAGAACTCGACAGTGATAAGGGAAGCTCATCATCATGCAAGATGGTCATCTGGATCGTAGGAATTTAGGTGCTGTTCTGAAGATTTCTGGAATTCTTATATGTAATGTAATATTATAGGCTTCCAGTTGAGATGGGGGCATACTAAAGGGTTTTGGAAAAATTAGGAAAGATACTAGTAAATCTGAGAGGAAAAGGAAATAATTTCCATGGGAGGAGCAGTCTGTTTGAGCCTGGGCCAGAGGGCTGTGTCTAAGTATCAGAGCATCACTAGAAAAATGCAAAGAGAACCAAGATGCACTTGAGAATCCTAGAGCCAGGATAGATACAGGAGGGAACACTTCTATTTATGCGTGAGGTTACACTTTTGACTTCATGCATTCATACTTTCACAGGCTCATCTTCTCATATTCATAAGAGAAAACTAATTTCCTAAAAGGTTTGTCAGTCTCAGCTCTAATGATATTTGAGGCTGTGTAACTCTTGGTGACTACTGTCCCATGTACTGTAGTTTTTCCTCAGCAGTTTGACTTTCACCTACAAGATGTCAGTCACACCACTCCCCCACCCCACCCCTGCAAGTGTGACAACTGAAAATGCCTACACATATTGCCAAGTACCCCCAGTCCTAGGGGAGGAAGAGGGGGCAAAACTGCCACTGGTTGACAACTACTCTTTAAGATATACTATTTCAAATAATAATCATTTCAGACTAAGACTACTTGATGCCATCAAATTTGGCTTGAAAAAAAGAAGAAAAAGAAAAAGGAACCCTACATGAAATTAATCACATTCTGTGTTCAATAGACACAGAGATAAACTCTGGGATAAACTAAGAAATCATTCAGATTAGTTTATACCTGGGTAATCGAAAACCAGAGAAGATTCAAAAGCAATATAATATTTGGGTTTGAAAATCTCTTTTAAATTGTGTTTCTGATAAACTAGGTAACAGCTTTTAATCAACAAAATTAACAGAATGTGAGTTTTTATTTTTCTGTGTAGAACTAGTTGTCAAGACTTTAACTTCATGCACACATGAATATTCTTTTTGCCCCATTTCAAAGGTATTGCAACTGCTCACTTATATCTAAATAGTAGTACTATTTAATGTGAAAGTATCTTGTAAAGTCAGTAATCAGAGAAAATTAGTACATATTCAATACATACAAATTTCAGGCAAAGCTCTAATTTCAAAACCTATCTCCTATCTATACATAGCAATATACATACTTATTAATAAATACTACCTTTACTAGAAGAAAATGTTTATAAAAACTAGGAGGGATTTTTTTTTCAAATGTTAAAAAAGTAAATGCAAAGAGTCCCATGCCACTGCTCAAAGAGGTCCACGTTCCCATGGAGGCAGTGTGGTATGGCCTGTGCTGATGCTGACACGATGTCTTGAACTCCAGACAAGACCACCAGTCTGGCTCTCACCTGATTTATCTGTAGAATCTTCAAATTCCACGAGGAAAGAGTACCCGTTATTCCAGACATGGAGGCAGGTGGTCGGGTCATAAGAGACGGTGAGTGGTTTTAGGGCAGGATCAAAGACACTGTCCCTCCACCGGATGTTGATGGGCGACTGGCGCTCGCCCACCGGGACCAGGTCCACGCTCTCCCAGAGCGGGTGCACTAGGAGAAAGCACATCGGGGCTTATGGTCAAGACGTCCGCTATACGGGATCACACAGCGGGCGATGCCAGTCGTGGGGGCTGCCGAGGCTGATGGAATCGAAGCCTGAGGGATCAGCCACGTGGGGGCCGATGGCACGGACCAAGGCCGCTCAGGGAGCACCGGGCACAGGGGCAGCCTGCTGCGTCGTCAGCGCAGGCAGCTCGGCCTACCCTCTCGGCTCGCCTAAACCAAGCGCTGCCTGGCGTCGTGCCAACAGTAGGACGCGTGCAGATGAGCAGCGTGGGGAAGGAGCGTGGTCTCCAATGAGGCTCTTTTCTTTCCCGATAATTTTCTGAGCCCCACCCACCAAACCAGGTGTACATGCAAATACAGAGCCATGCAATTTTCCCTCGTGGACTTCTTTTCAACAAAGGCCATGGGGGAAGAGGAGGAAGAAGTTTTGGAAAGCAAGTGTTCACCGAAGCACTCTACGTTTTTCATTGCTTGGCTAGGAGAAATAAAGGCTTGCGTGGCATGCGTCTGTAATTTAGCTTGCAATTTTGAAGATTTCTGGATTTATCCAATTATTGTGTTATATTATTATAGGCTTCCGACTGAGATGAGGGCAACACTCTAGGGTTTTGGAAAAATGAAGGAAGGTACTGATGAATCTGGGGAGGAAAAGGAGTGATTTCTTCTTAGTTTGACATATGCTTACCTTAGGAATAACACTGCCGCTTATTTTACCACCAAAAAAAAAAAAATGTTTTTTGGGGGAGTTGGGAGCGAATAGCAAAGCATTACAATCTGGAACAAGCAAGCTATGGTAAAACCACAGACAAGTCCAGAGAGCAAAGGAGAGGGCTGCTCCTTTACAGAGTGAAGGAGGAAGCTGGGAAGGCCTTTAGAAACAAAAAGTCCACTGGAGGAATCTGGGAGCTGGAAATATAGTGGCTTCTCGTTCACGGCCTGAGCTGTAACTGTTTCTCACTGGCTGAGCTCTTGCTGGGGAAGAAGGGGCAGTCTTCCTTCCTCAGGTTGAGACAGTGGATTAGTAGCTGAAGTAGTGTCCCCGTGCAGTGTTTATTTCTTCCTGTTGGGTCTGCAACTGACTAGGAGAGCTCCTGACTCCACTACAGGTTAAGGTGTACACACGGAATTGTCCTGATTTTCCTACAGAGGGTCAAGCACCGGGTCTTCACAGTAAGTCCTGGATAAATCTCAGTGGATTACCTGTAATGCACATAGAGCTGTTGAGACATCCATGCATGATGGATAGAACTATATGCGTAATTTGGGGTGCCCCTGTGCTCTGCCCCTTAGGAGCACCACAGATGGGCAAAACCAAGACCAATAGGAAAACGAGAAGAAATGTGCTTCGAGATAAATCACTACCAATGACACTCTGTACCTCACTCCACTGCTCTGAGCCTAAGGATTTGAGAAAGTGATGAGGTAGTTGCCACTCAGTCAATCTCCCATGTGTCTAGTCTAGTCTCTGACACTCCACTTGTCTTTTTTTTTCTTTTTTGTTTTTTAAGATTTAATTTACTTACTTGAGAGAGAGAGAGAGAGAGCACACAAGAGTGGGTGAGGGGCAGAGGCAGAAGCAGACTCCCCGCTGAGCAGAGAGCCTGACATGGGGCTCCACCCCAGGATCCTGAGATCACCACCTGAGTGGAAGGCAGATGCTTAACTGACTGAGCCACCCAAGGCTCCTCGACCCTCCACTTTTCATAAAAATAAATAAATAAACAACAGAAATACACCCCTGGTTTACTCTTAGAGAGAAGACATCTCTCTTATTGAGGTAGCAGCCCCAAATTCATAAATTGGAAATTCAAGATCTTAGCTTTGTCATTTTTGCAAAAAAGTGCCCTGGCACTATAGACAAAGCATTCCGGCAGTTGCCAGAACAGTGATTCGTAATGGAGGGAGCAATTCTGTTCCTAGGGGTCATTTAGTAATGTCCAGAGACATTTTTGGTTGTCACAGCTGGAGATGGGTCCTACTTACACCTAGGGGTAGAAGCCAGGGATGCAGCTAACTATCCGACAATTCATAGGAGAGGCACCCACAGGACAGAAATGTCTGGCCACAAATAGTGCAATAATACCGAACTTGAGAAGTCTTGGTCTAGAGCTAAAAGCTATAGGCAGATACAAGAGAGTATTCTCTTTTTCTTTTTCTTTTTCCTTTCTCATATAATGCAGTACTCCCATCTCTAGAGAAGTCTGAACCCAACGTCTTTGGTATTTTCCCTTAATGTAAAAGAACTAGTGAAGGACAAGAACTTATTTTAGAAAAGAATGACAGCTTTCCGTTCATAAATCCTGAGTGAAAAGTACATACAAATGGGTGCAAGACATGGGGATCCCTGGGTGGCTCAGCGGTTTGGCGCCTGCCTTTGGCCCAGGGTGTGGTCCTGGGGTCCCAGAATCGAGTCCCACGTCAGGCTCCCTGCATGGAGCCTGCTTCTCCCTCTGCCTGTGTCTCTGCCTCTCTCTCTCTTTCTCTATCATGAATAAATAAATAAAATCTTTAAAAAAAATGGGTGCAACACAGTCACAATCTGATTACAATGCAAGTTCCTTGCAGACAGGAGCCATATCTTCCTCCTCTTTTTGTTACGCTGTAGTACCTTATTCAATTTATGTCCTTTAATTTTAGTATTGATTATCCATCTGCTATTGTTGGGATAAAAAGCTGTATTTCATTACTTGTGTGATATTTTCTAAACTTCTAGAAACCCCTGGAACAGCCCTGATTCAGTTGTACTATATTTTGTTCTGACTTTTAAAATTTTAGTCTCAATCTGGTTAACATACAGTGTCGTATTACTTTCAAGTGTACAAGATAGTGACTCAACAATCCCGTACACAGGATGCTGTACTCATCATGACAAGTGCCCTCCTTACTCCCCATCACCTATTTCACTCTACCCCCTGGCAGCCTTCAGTTTGTTCCCTATAGTTAAGAGTCTCCTGGTTTGGGATGCCTGGGTGGCTCGGCGGTTGAGTGTCTGCCTTCAGCCCAGGGCATGATCCTGGAGTCCCAGGATCGAGTCCCACATCAGTCTCCCTGCATGGAGCCTGTTTCTCCCTCTGCCTATGTCTCTGCCTCTCTCTGTGTCTCTCATGAATAAATAAATAAAATATTTTTTTTAAAAAAAGAGTCTTTTGGTTTATCTCTCTCTCTCTGTCTCCTTTTTACCTTTGCTTATTCGTTTTGTTTCTTAAATTCCACACAGGAGTGAAATCATATGGTATTTGTCTTTCTCTGACTGACTTATTTCACTCAGCATTATACTCTCTAGCTACATCCATGTCATTGCAAATGGCAAGATTTCATTCGTTTTTAGACTGAATAATATTCCATTGTATATATATACCACTTCTCCTTTATCCACTCATCTATCGATGGACACGTAGGCTGCTTCCACAATTTGGCTACTGCAAGTAATGCTGCAATAAACATAGGGGTTCATGTATCCATTTGAACTAGTGTTTTTGTATTTTTGGGTGCAATTACTGGATTGTAGGGTAGATTCCTTAATGTTTTGAGGAGTCTTCATATCGTTTTCCACAATGGCTGTACCAATATGCATTCTCACCAACAGTGCAAAAGGGTTCTTTTTTCTCCACAAACTCACCAACACTTGTTGTTTTTCATCTTACTGATTTTAGCCATTCTGACAGGTGTGAGGTAATATCTCATTGTGCTTTTGATTTGATTTTCCTGATGATTAGTGATGTTGAGCATCTTCTCATGTGTCCATTTGCTATCTGTACGTCTTCTTTAAGAAATGTTTGTTCATGTCTTTTGCCCATTTTTAATTGGATTATTTGGTTTTCTTCATATTGAGTTGTATACATGCCTTGTATATTTTGGATACTAACCCTTTGTCAGATATGTCGTTTGCAAATATCTTCTCCCATTCCCTAGGCTGCTTTTTATTTTTGTTGATCATCTCCTTTGCTGTGGAGAAGCTTTTTATTTTGATGCAATCCCAATAGTTTATTTTTGCTTTTATTTCCCTGGCCTTGGAACACATATCTAGAAACATGTTGCTATGGCTGATGTCAGAGGCATTACTGCCTAGGCTTTCTTCTAGGATTTTTATGATTTCAGGTCTCACACTTAGGTCTTTAATCCATTTTGAGTTTATTCTTGTGTATGGTGTGAGAAAGTGGCCTAGTTTCATTCTTCTGCATATAGCTGTCCAGTTTTGCCAACAGTATTTCTTGAAGAGTCTATCTTTTTCCCACTGCATATTGTTTCCAGTTTTGTTGAAGATTTATCATATAATTGTGGGTTTATTTCTGGGTTTTCTATTCTGTTCCATTGATGTGTGTCTATTTTTGTGCCAGTGCCATACTGTTTTGATTACTACAGCTTTGTAATATAACTCGAAATCTGGAATTGTGGGACATCTGGGTAGCTCAGTGGTTAAGCGTCTGCCTTTGGCTGAGGTTTGTGATCCCTGGGTCCTGGGATTGACTCCCTCATCTGGCTCCCACAGGGAGCCTGCTTCTCCCTCTGCCTATGTCTCTGCCTCTCTGTCTCATGAATGAATGAATGAATGAACGAATGAATAAATAAATAAATAAATAAATAAATAAATAAATAAATAAATAAATAAATAATAAAAAATCTGGAATTGTGATGCCTCCTGTTTTAGTCTTTTTCAAAACTGCTTCAGCTAGTCAGAGTCTTTGGTAGTTCCATATAAGTTTTAGGATTTTCTGTTCTAGTTCTGTGAAAAATGCTGTTGGCATTTTGATAGGAATTGCATTAAATCTATGGAGTGCTTTGGGTTGTATAAACATTTTTAAAATATTTGTTCTCCCAGTCCATGAGCGTGGAATGTTTTTCCATTTCTCTGCATCACACTTCAATTTCTTTCACCTATGTTTTATACTTTTTAGAGTACCAGTCTTTCACCTGTTTGGTGAGGTTTTATTTCTAGGTATCTTATTTTTATGTAATTTTAAATGGGATTGTTTTCTTAATTCCTC